CCCCCCCGCTGATCTTGCCAGTAAAGGTCCTCGTACAGGCACTTCCTGTTATAGGGTGACAACACTCTCTTCCTGTCTCACAGTTGTGCTCCTGTGTTGTCACCCTGCCACATAGGCTTCAAAAGGTGTCTCAACACACGCAGGCAGGGTCCAGCATTGTCACCAACAGGAAACCCGCCCTGAGAAATGTCAGGCAGCCATCGCTGGAATGCACATAGACAGGAAGTGGCAGCACAAAGCCTGCAGAAGAACAGCAGGGCTGAGATGAATGTAGGAAAAGAAAGGTGAAAACAAGCATTTTGTTTACAAAAAAAAAAGACACAAATGGGGAATTTATCAAAACTTCAGCGGTTTCCTATGGCAACCAATCAGCTTCTATTTTCCATTCCAAGCGTAACTAGACAAATGTAAGAGAAGCTGATTGGTTACTTTGGCCAACTGCTCCAGTTTAGGTAAATCCAGCCCCCCCCACAATCCAGTTTGGGTTTTATTGTGACCGATAGATGGGATGTCCTTCATTATACCTCTTTCCATTCGTTCACGCAGAAGATTCGGTAAGAATCGTTCCCATATTTCCCGATGCCGTGGAGCGCGATCGGATAACGCCACTTTTTGGTGAGATATTCTTCTGCAGAACACAAACGGCACGCGGCGATCATTGAAGTGTTCTAGGATCATTGATGCAAATACAACACAAGCACCGTAGGGACTATTCAGAAACCTCTATTCCCTCAATAAAACAATGAGGTCATATGGTGGTCACATGACTTATCCTCGGAGGTCAGGAGCTGCTGTCAATTGAACTATGGAGGGCTGGACGGGGGGGACGTGGCAGCTGTAGTCTGACTTTAGGACTACAGGCACGCTGCGCACCGGCACGGCATCATATATCTCCCAAGACCAAAAGACGAGGGACACAAACTGACCAAGCTTGGAAGGATGCGCTTCCCAACCTAGTGTGGTTGGTTACAAACAGGAAGGGGTTGTTTCCTTGGGGACTGGCAGGATCACCAGGTATTCTATAGCTGCAGCTAGGGATGCACCAATACTAGTATCGGCATCCGTGCCGATACCGAGTATTTGAGTACTCATATTTTCCCAAATGCTCCGCTACCGGAACTTCCAGTCAGAGTGAGATTTGCTCTGACTGGCAGTGCCACGAGTGAACATGGAGCCAGCTTCCTGGCTAATCAGGAAGCCAGGCCACAGGTAATGACTCGCTGCCCGGATTCCCGATTGGCTCAGAAGCCAGCTTCCTGGCCAAATAGTATTGAGCTGGCTTCCCGGCCAATCAGGAACTCAGCCAGCGGGTATTGGCCTGCCTCCCGGCTTCCTGATGGGCCGGGAAGCTGGCTTCATGCGGATCTGCTGGGAAGCAGGCTTTCCGGCCAATCAGCATCGAGCTGGCCAATCAGCATGGTGCCGGCTTCCCAGCCAATCAGGAAGCAGGGCCGCAGGTAATGACCCGACTCCCGGCTTCATGATTGGCCGGGAAGCCGGCTTCATGCTGATTAGCTGGGATGCCGGCTTCCTGGCCAATCAGCATCGAGCCAGCCAAACAGCACAGATCGCCCGGGAAGCTGGCCCTATGCTACTGGAAGTACCGGTACTTGGTACCGGCAAGTACCAAAATATAAATATGGGTACTCGTACTCAATACAGAAAAGCCGGTATTGGTGAATCCCTAGCTGCAGCATATCACTTAGAGATTGCAGACATTGTTTGGGGATTTAAGAGATGCTAACTGAATTAGTGCGCAAGGTGCAGGGCTCACAGAGGCGCAAAGACGATAGAAAAGGTTGCCAGGCTCCGAGTTCATTAAAGAGAACAATGTCAGCACTCATGTTAGCTGCCAATTTTTAGAAACTCATAGCGGTGTACTTACATACAGTTCTCAGAGCCATTCGCCCTGCGACATTGCATGTATGTTCGTTCTGTGGGAATGGAGGCAAACACGAAGGTTATTAGTATATTTTCTTCCAAGTTCAAGTGTAATACAACATTTTGGCCACTAGATGGAGCCAATACTTCCTATGCTCCTCAGCTCCATCTAGTGGCCACAATGCAGTATTAACCTAAAATTACATTCAATATGAAAAGAAAACATCCTAATAACTTTCATTTGTGCCTCCATTCGCACAGAAGGAATGTACATGCAATGTCGCAGGGCGAATGGCTGCGCAAATTGGTTACAAATGCGCCCGTTATTGTGAGACTCAATATAGGGGCAAAGTGTAGCTGGAAAGTCACCTACACACTTCCTACAAGAAGACACAAGAGCTCTTGTGTTATCAACTCACACCCCCTATTTGTACCTCGGGGGATATGGAATTTGCGCGTACCTGAAAACCTCACAATGGTTTTCGCTCGCAGCTCATAGAGTCCCAGAGGCTGCAGGATTTCTGCCATGTCCTTCCAGTCTGCCATCCGGGCAACTTCCGCATTTGGGTATTTTTCCAGGAAGCTCCAAAGGACCGGAATCGCCATCTTCCCTGCAGAAGAGGAGAGTTAAAGCCGATCTTCAGGAGGATATAAAAGACACAATTGAATGCAGCACTGTATTCAATAAGACAACAATGGACCTCAGTTCTTTCAATAATGGAGGCTCAGCATCATGGGTGGGTGTTACCTAGGACGGTCTGCATGCAAATTGTCCGATACTTATCTCCGATACCGGAAGTTCCGATCAGAGGGAGACCTCCCTCTGTCCGGCAGTTTTAAGGGAGCATGGAGCCAGCTTTCATTCCAATCAGGAAGCCAGGCGGTGGGTTATGACCCACCTCCCGGCTTCCTGATTGGCTAGGAAGCCGGCTTCACTTATTGCTAGGCAGCCTGACCTCGTACCCAATCAGGAAGCCGCGCGGCACCCGGCTTCCTAATTGGTCAGGAAGCCAGGCTGCCTAGGAACAAATGAAGCCGGCTTCCTAACCAATTAGGAAGCCGGGAGGCAGGTCATGACTCGCCTCTCGGCTTCCTGATTGGCCTAGCCTAGCAACAAGTGAAGCCGACTTCCTGATAATTGGGGCACACGGCACCGGTACTCGGCACCGGTACCGAAAAACAAAATATCAGTACTCGCATTCGATACCGAAAAAAACGGTATCGGTGCATCCCTACTGCCTAGGAACGCCCACTCCTTACAGACTGACACCTACCATCAAGGCATTTCATATTTCTCCAGTCTATGATAATTAAAACATATTAGAACATGTTTTATTGTAAGATGAGATCTGGAATTGTCTCCAGAAAATGAGTTAGAAGAAGAATTTTGGATCGGTGTTTGTCATGCTCACTTAATCTAGGCTCTATATTACAAAAGGGAACATAGAAGTACCATTTATTTATTTATATCAATGATGTGACATGGGACGTACTAATAAATTAATATTGTTATTTTTGGTAACGGGCCCACTTTAGGTGCATGTGGTTTTTCTTGGTACTTCTTGGTTCGCCCCTAAGAGCTTGTGTCAATGGATGAATGCAGCAGTTTGATTTCAGGTACATTTAAAAGCAGTTTAAGATGCCTCTAAAATCGTTCAGACTTTAGACGACGCTTTCTAAACAGCATCAACCTGCTTTTGCATTCCCATTGACTTGCTGGAAGTGAAAAGCAGTTCCGATGCCAACAAGTACGCGTTTTACTCACCGGAGGTCTTGTTCAGGAAGATGGTGGCGAGGAGAAGCTTCCACGGATCGTGGAAAAGCGTTTCCTGAACTAAATTGAAGGGCGAACGAGGGGGTGTCCATTTGGAGAAAGCTTTTCGTCTTGGGGGATCCAGAGCTGCAAGAAGAAAACAAAAACTACATCAGCCAGACAAATGACAGACACACATGACATTTATAATTTTTTTCTACTTCAATACTTTTTTTAATTTTAATAGTACAATACATAACAAACACTATTACATCCATAAATACATAATTAAAACAATAATACAAAAACAAAAATCAATACATTAAACAATAACAAAACAATTCTCATCATACCATATTACCTAAAAACACATTACTCCACAAAATACCAATAGCAGATAAAAGAGACATTATAGACAAACACCATTTCTATATTCAAACCACTTATCCCACATTTTGCTATATTTATCCATGTTACCTCTATGTTTAAACTTAATTCCCTAAAATCCAACCACTTTATCTAGTTCTTTCTTCCATTCCTCCACTAAGGGAGGCGTTGCTGAAATCCACCTAAAGGCTATACTAGGCCGAGCCACAAACAATGCCCTCGTTATTGCCACCTTCACATAGTATTCCACCTTCACAGATCCCAAAATACCCAAAATACTTATCAATCGATTATTAGAAATATGAACTCCAAAGGCTTTATTTATTATGTCCACTATTTCCTGCCAAGATCGTTTCAACTTCGGACAGTAGATGTATCAAAGAACCTGGTTCAACCCCACATTTTGGGCATCTAGAGTTTTCCTTACACATGACATTATTGACTCTGAAGGGAAACTGTGTGAAATCAGTAAAACGTGTCAAAGATCAGTAAGCCATAAGAATCTTCAAAGTTACAAAATGGGTCTTCTAGCTTTCTCCAGTATTAGGTCACTGTCATATCATATCATACCACACACACACCTTAAAAGGAGAACTATGAGGTGCGTGCTTTTCACTCACCTCATAGTTCTAGCCGACCTGTGACAATGAGACTGTCACAGGTCGGCTCAGTAGATCGGGAGGTGAGAGAACACATACTGGCGTTCGCTCACTTCTCGATCATGTCACGGCTCTCTGCTGTGACAGGGGAGGGACTAGATTCCCCCCTCCGATCCGCCAGCGCTGACTGGCGGAACGGACGGAGGAGGGTACAGCTGGCTCTGACTCTAGATAGGCAGAGCCTGCTGTCACTCACGCAGCTGGGCGGATCCAGACATAATTGTCGGGATCCACTTCAGCTGCGCGTCTCAGTATAACGCGAGCTGTAGCTCGCGGTATACTGAGATTAGGGTGACGGGAGGACGCTAGTTTGTGTCATCCCATTACCCTAAGGAGAACTATGGGGAAAAGCCCTGACCCCATAGTTCTCATTTAATGTCCTCTGCATTTAAATGGAATTTATAGTATTTTATTTATTTTTTAACATGTGAATGTGAGCAGTTTAAAGTGTATTTTTTCAACCTGACTAACTATGTAAAGGTTGCACTGTTTACTACAATGTATTTTGTTAGCCTGGTCCCAGCATCTTCTGTAAAACAAAATTGCAAATGAGAGCACTTACCTTTCATGCAAAGATTGACGTGTCCAAAAAAAAAGGTGATCTGCACCGAGATCATCAACAACCGTGTAGCATTACCAGCAATAAAAGAGACATTTTTATTTAAGGCCTTGGTGCAGATCCCTTTTTTTTTTTGTAGCTCTTTATAAATGATGGCCCCATATAGGCTGTGATGTATGCGAAAGGCAATAAGGAAAGCTGTGCACCTTTCTTTGTGAAAGACAATTTGGCCTGTGCAGGAAACCGCTTTCGACCATGCTGGAAGGACTGGCTGTTCATGCATCCCAATGCAGAGCCCAGAACCAATTTTTACCGGCTTCATTAAGGGTGGTCGAAAGTGTTTCTACACAAGAAAGGAAAATGGAAACGGACCCAACGCCTCAAGTGCACCAATCCCCGCATGAAAGTTAGTTACTATCATTTGTATTATTGTGTTCTTACAGCCATAAGGATCTTTGAAGGCCACTGAATTTTCCATGGGTGGAGTCACATGTCAGGCCAACGTGCTGATTCTACCACTGGAGACGTTTCCCAGAGAACTGTGTCTGCCAGGCCGAGAGGGTACCACTTTAAGGATATATCCTGTAAGGAAGATCTTTTAATCAGCCTTTTTTTCCGATTCCTCTTGAATCAGTTTCTTAATTTCTTCCATCATTGGAAAGGAAGGAACCTCCTTTTCCTCACTTTCTTAGGAGTAGGAGGTCCTTCTTCTTCCCGTTGTATTGCTTTTCCAATAGCCTCAAAAAAAAGGAGCCACTAAAGCAAAATCAAATGGGGTGGACTCCTCTGTCTCCTCTTTAGAGGATCTTTTTTTCCTCCTGGATCTGAGTGGATGAGTACCTACCAAATCCATTGCCCTGCTCCTTTTAGCACCTGAGGGGCTTGAATACTTTTCTGTATGCTCTCTGCAATGGCCTGATCAATATATGACTTGAATTCTTGCAAATCTGCCTCTTTAGCTCTCGTGGCTTCTTTGTAGCAGGTAGCACACAATATTTTCATAGGAAGTGCCTGAGCACCGCAGGCCCAACAAGCTGCATTTGCTGGAGGAGCTGCGGTGAGTCTTTTCAATGGTGAGGGAGTTTGACGGTGATGATGCTGCAGACTACACAAACGCCTATGACTTGGGCGCACTGTGATGGCGAAGTGAAAGAGAAGCAGATGAATAGCGATGACTTGAACCTGTAGGCGATGAATGTCGAGTTGTCAGATAAGAAGTAAAAAAAACAAATGGTACCTCACCGACCTGTAATAGTGTGTAGCAAATGAGCGGCAAAGAGTAGCATAGAAAGCACAGAGGAGCAACATGGAAATCAGACCAGGATGCAGAAAATCAGCACAACACCAAACCCGCCGGTGCTGTTTAAACCTCTGCTCCGTGTGAAAGCATGACCTGGTGGCGTCTCCGTTGTCAAGCAATGCAACACACCTTATAGCAGTCAGGCCACCAGCCAATGTCAGAGGAGAGGACACAGGGACAGGATGCCTGCGGCGCATGCACAGACTGGAACCCAGAAGCTGTAACATCCCGGCGGTTCTGAAGGTTGGACATCAGCGCATGCGTGAAAAATTTAAAGAGAAAGAGAACTGCAACCCACCCAGCAGGAAAATCCCTTCTAAGGCAACGTGAAGGTAAAAAAAAATAAAAATCACAGACATACTTAAAGACAGAACACCGCCAATAATGATCAATGGGATTGCATGTAAACAAAAGCTTGCTTAGCAGCCATAACATTTAGGCAGTTTATTATCCTAAAATAAACCGTTGTACCCCCAATATGATAGATTTACTAGTCAACTAGGGGGGCCTTAAAGAGGCTGAACCAGGGTGGAACATGGTAGGGAGTTCTTGATATGATGATGATGTGTATTCTCTGTCTTATAGACTAGTTAACGTGGCCTTTGACTGTTCATGACTATTTCAATTTTAAAATTAACATTCAGTTCAATCAACCAATCATATTCAGATTAAATAAGTAAACAGGGAATTCATTTTCATGCTTGGATAAGTGAATATTGCGTGAAGATTCTCTCCCTCACTGTCACATTGCCATGATGGACAAGATGAGAGTTTGGCCTTTACATTCACCACTGGTTGGGAGCAATGCCAGTCTTCATCATGAAATGATAAAATTGTCCACAAAAATAATTGTGCAAAATGTTTAATTTTTTTGCCTTTTTTTTTACAGAAACCATAATTTTGTGGAAAATACAAATGCAGAATATTTTTTCAAATACAAATTGAAATGTAATGACAGCATTTTCTGATCAGCCTCTGGTCAGATAATGATACAGTAGGGTGGCCTAGATTGAATAGGTAAGGGGCTTTGCTCCTCATAGGGTGAATCGGAGCTGGGCTGGGAGCTGGAAGCAGGAATCAGGGGTGTGTTGCATCGGGGTGATGTTTGAGCATAGGAAGTTGACTGGTCAGGGAGATTGTGACAGGCTGGAGGCTGTGGGGGAACAAGAACAGGATAAGGTGGTGGTGGAGATGAGGGCTGGGGGTTATCAGATTGATAGTTGAATGGATAAACATAGTGCCGGTGGGGCTGGCGGGGAAGGCTGTCTGATGACAGATAAGAAGTAATGAGATGAAGCATATCATGTCTCATGGCTACAACTCTGTCTTCAGATACTTTTTCTAAAAGTGGAACCAATGAAACTGCAAAGTGGTACATTGGGCTTTGTTCTGACTGCCTATCCTCCATGAATGTGTTAAGAGCCCCTAGTAGCTGGTCGTCTCCTCCGTGACTGTGACCCCGGATTGAGGGACGACAAGAAACCAGTGGTCTGGGTATTCCTGACGAATATAATGTTAAAGGAGCAGCCACTTTGGCCTCTGCCCCCTGCATTGCCTCAACTATTGTCGCAGAGTTGGTGCCATCAGGCCCCACAGGGCTCAATGGATACTGCTGGCTGCTTTCACTTTCATCTGAGTCATGTGATGGGTCTTGCTCTTCTTCAGCAAAGCTGCTTTCCATTCTAAAAAATAAATGTGTATCATAGTAAAAAGAAATAGGGAGCCTTTTTTACGTGATAAACACAATGGGGGGTATTTATCAAAACTGGAGCAGATTTGCACTGCAGCCAATCAGCTTCTCTCATTTTCAAATCTTACCTGAGCAAACTGAAGAGAGATGCTGATTGGTTGCTATGGGCAACTGCTCCAGATTCTGTTTGCCCCAGTTTTGATAAATACACTTCATACCAACACTTCAGCTAGTGGAAGTATTGGTATGGCACGTACCTGCTGGCTCTGAGGCCAATCCTCCGATCCCTTTTTTGCTGCTGAAGTTCTCTTCTGTAATTTTCTTTCTTGCTATGCCAACCTGTCTTTAGCAGTTGCACTAAAATAAAAAAGTGTTCAGTATGCTTATGTTTTCTTTGTAGGCTTCTGGCTAGTGGACATTCATAGGCATTCAGAATTCAGATTGGGCAAATCAGCAGTCTGCTACATTGTTCAATCAACATGCACAACCTTGTTTAAAAACCAATGGAAATGGTCACGCCAGTTCCCACAGAAGCAGGATGGGGAGAGACTGCTGACCTTTTCTGCCCATGCACCAATTACCTTGTCATAAATCTGGAGAAGTGAGCTCTTGAGTGATTTGGCGATGCAGAATCCCCTGGGGCGTGAGGTCTAAGCACTAGTCGATCTTCTCTAGAGCTCCTCTTGGTGAAGATGGATTTCGCTGTGTGTGGGTGCCAAGCCACGACCCCCGGGTTCTCCCTGCGGCAGGCATGCAGACAAGCAGTGCGAGAGGATATTGGCACAAGGCAGGGTACAGGCGTGCAAAGGTGAAGAGAAGCTCCAGGAGACAGGCAAAAGCTCAGGGCAGGCGGCAGAAGAGCGAATCTGAGGGACAAAGCCAGGGTCAGTACGCAGAATGTCTATCCAAGGAAACAGGTAGCAGGACAAGAGCAAAGACACGGGTGAGTGCTCAGGCAATGGGAGCTGAACTGAGCATGGGTTAAATACATAGAAAATTGGGAGGGTGGGCATGAAATGGTCAAGGAGCAAGGCATTTTAATCAGCAGGCAAGACAGGCGGCGTGTCCATAGTTGCTAGCTCTGTGCAGGAAGAGAACACCTGGTTGTTGAAGCAAAGTAGAAAAGAAGAAAGAACGCATCACAAGCGTGTGGAACCACAACTGATCAGTGACATACAGCAACTGGTTAGGGTACTGTTTGGTACTTTTTGTCACCAGCAGGACAAACTTCCTGGTAACAATTGTCTGTTCTACTTCTGTAAATTGTTTTCTGCCTTTACTTTTATATTTTCTGTGCCAAAATAAAATAGCTGTTACACTTTTTACTTTCTTTACCGAAATTAAAGGAGAACTATGGGGTTAAGGCTTTTCCCCATAGTTCTCCTTAGGGTAACGGAAGAACACAAACTAGCGTCCTCCCGCCACCCTAGGCTCAGTATACCGCGAGCTACTGCTAGACGCCGCAGCTGAAGCGGATCCCGACAATTGTGCCGGGATCCGCCCAGCTGCGTGACTGACAGCTGGCTCTGCCTATCTAGAGGCAGAGCCAGCTATACCCGCCCCCTACCCCGTCCGTTCCACCAGTCAGCGCTGGCGGATTGGAGCGGGGAATCCAGCCTCTCCCCTGTCACGGCAGAGAGCCGTGACAGGATCGAGAGGTGAGCGAACGCCGGTATGTGTTCGCTCACCTCCCGATCTACAGAGCCGACCTGTGACAGTCTCATTGTCACAGGTCAACTAGAACTATGAGGTGAGTGAAAAGCACTCACCTCATAGTTCTCCTTTAAATAACTGTTGTTACAGCTTATTTCCTCTTATTTTTTTGTGCTGGTAATTCAATAATTCTGTATCATCGGACAATGTTACGTAACAGAAAGCAAGGTATTCAAACATCTTTCTTTCGCCACGTAGAGGAGGAGAGGGTGAGTGTTGCACTTCCTGTGCTAAGGTGACTATGCTGCTCCACCACAGATACAAAAGGTGTATATTTATAAAGCAGCTAATCTCTCATTCACTGCAGCTGAATCTTCCTGGTACATGTATTTGGCAGTGATTAATTCACTTGTTGAGTGCTTGCTTTATAAGGAAGGCTGCTGTAGCAGCTGATAAGCTACAATGGATTTGATTACGTTTACATGTGTAGCTTTAGGCATAAAGACAGAAAGGTCACACAGCAGTGGATTGAAATAGGATACATGGGAACATTTTCTGAAAGGGAAATTCCACCTTTTGCAAAAAATAAATGCATACTTCATAAAAGAAAAAATGTCTATTTATATATATTTTTTATATATTGCAATCATGATCAGTAGATCTGCGATCTGACCTTGTTTCATACAAACAGACAAAAAGCTGGCGGCACATCGGGTTCCGCTGGATTAGTTTATTGAAGTTTGCACCACATCACTGGTGACCCTCTCTTGACAGGGGGCGGACCTTGGGTGGGACACCAGAGATGTGGTACAAGCTTCAATAAATGAAACCAGCCGAATGCGGTCATCTTTCGCCTCTTTTATATGGGCTCATATTGGAGTGAGGATTCACTCCCAGCGGCAAGCACCGGGCTCATTCCTTCCCTGAGCCGTGGAGGAGCAGTGCTTCTTTTGTGTGTTCTGACCATGTTGCATGTTACATACTAAATATGGGTAACATGAAACCTAGTCAGAAAGGTAAACTAAGCCTTTTACTTTTTTTCTAATGTGGCCTAGAAAAATACATAGATGTTTCTCATACTGTACCTGGAAAGGTAGTGAAAACAGCTGTCAGCTGTTATGTGAGAAAACCGAATGGGGGGTGTGATATTTTAGTTTTGTCTACTGAACTCGGGGGTACGACTTTGAGGCATTTTCAAATCACATTGTTTTGCAGGTGTTCTTACAAGATGGTCCCCTGGTTGTGAATCTTAGGAAGGCTTTGGTTCCAGGTAAGAAAGCTGTCTATGTTGATCCAACCTGAACTGGTCATTGTCTCTCTCTAATGTGCTCCTCTACTCTTCTACACACAACACACGGCACAAAAGATGAATGCCCTAAGGTCACAGTAGGAGCCAAAGTTGTAACGTGCTGGTGTAAAAGGATGCTTGCATCATTTTATCACAGCAGACAAATATCAAGTATGTCAACAGCACGCCAGGATTCTGAGCCTGATAAAGGGGACCCTCTGAGGCCCCGAAAGCGCTTGCAATTGAAATGGCAAATTTCATTAAAATGGACTTTTGCTGATCACTTTAATTGGCGTGCTGCTGACATCCTTAATATCCGTACATTGTTCACGGCGCCATCCGTGGTCACTACGAGCACCCACCTGTATACACAGGATATTCATGGATCCGCTAAGGAGTGCAGCAGGATACAACCAATTATTTTATCACAACACACGCACAAACACAGTGCATTGGTGTGCAGAGGCTGTTTGCCTTGTCTACGTTGGGCAATGCTACCCAACGCGGCTGGTGTGAACAAACCCCTAACGTAAATGATCTTACCATTGTGTGTTTCTGCGCTTCACTGCTCCTGTCTTTCACTGCAGTTTCAACAGTCTGGTAAGGCAAACTCCCTAGGTGGCTAACTGATCTTATATCAGCAACTAGAGGCAGAATCTACAGATCTGGAACAAAGCCATTCAATATGGTACAAAATGTAAAATCTACGTCAATATATACTTTCAGGAAGAATACAAAGTGCATAAGCATTAAAATTGGCTAGTCTCCCTTCAAAACAAAAAAGAGAGGAAATTACAGACTAAGGATGGGCTCGGGCATGTTCGCAGCTCCACGTGCCGAGCCCGCCAGGAAGCTGACAGCGCGCCAATCACAGGCACTGAGACATTTCCTGATCTCTGCAGCTGCGGACCGGGAAAATGTCTCAGTACCTGTGATTGGTGCTGCGCGATATTCAGCTTGCTGGCGGACTCGGCACGTGGAGCTGCGAACACGCCCGAGCCCATCCTTATTACAGACGCATTCGTTTACAGCTGGCTTTCCCCTGTGCCTTTGGGGTTTCTTTGCCTCCATGCCATTGGTTTAGGCCCATCTATTCACTAGCCAGGCTTACGGTCCTGTGTATTGGACAAAAGGTTTGCTCTAAAGCTGGGCATACACTTGGCCGAGTCTTGCTGACTTGGTCGAAATTCAACCACCTAGTGGCCCCGTCGTCAACAAAAGTAGATTTCTCAAACAACTTTTTTTTAAAGGAACCAGAACAAAACTTTTTGGCCAAACAGTGTCTGCAGCCAAGGTACTCTGACAATGGCACACCCACTGCTGACAGAATACAGCAGCCCAGCAGGGGGATTCCCCCATCCACGCTAAAACACAGTGCATGGCCAGCTTTAGATGTCTACCAGAATTCTTCTGATATAACGGCCAGATCAAAGGCCACAGGCTTAGAAAAAAAGGGAACCCAAAAATGATATTTTGCTGCCTCCCACCTACCCAAAACCTTTACAAAAACATTTGATGGGCTACACAAACCATCTTTTGTGGCTTTCTTGGAGAAGTAGGGGCTGGTCTTTCTTTTATCCACCTGTGATCTTGTGATGGAATCTGTGATGAAAACACAATACACAAGTCATGCATGGGCTGGCAGACATTTGGTCTTACGTATTAATGCAGTCCATTCATAATTGCTACGTGGGGAATTCTGGAGAAGTGTTGTTTGGTTTAGAGCACCTTCCATACAACATAATTCATCCTATTCAAGCGATATTTGGTTTATGGAGTTGATAATCATTCTTACACAGATTTAACAATAATCAGCAGAAATGATTTACTAGGGATGCACCGATACCAGTTCTTCAGTAAGTACCGTTACTGGTACTTCCGCTAGCACGGAGCCAGTTTCCCTGGCAATCAGGAAGCCAGGCGGAATGTCATTACCTGCCGCCCAGCTTCTAGATTGCCCGGGAAGCTGGCTCCATGCTGTTTGGCTGGCTAAATGTTGATTGGCCGAGAAGCCAGCTGCCCAGCCAATCAGCATCGAGCCGGCATCCCGGTCATTATACAGAGCCCAAGAGCTTACACAAAATTGTACTGAGACAAAGCCTTAAAAAAAGAAGTTTTATCTTCGAAACGCGTTGCCGCCTTACCTCCACATACAGCGGTCCTGTACCGCGGATGCTCCTCACTCCTTCATTCCACTAATTTTCCCTCCGCTGCCTGTCCCTTGCTCCTCCTGTCTCCTGCTGCATTTCTCTACCGCCCCTCCAGTGGTGAACACTGCTGCACCATCAGTGTAGTGCCGCCTCCTCCTCTCCACACCAGTGGCAGGCACACTCACTGGGCTCCGATCCCAGGCAATCAGCATCAACCCCCGCTGCCCGGCTTCCTGATTGGCCGGGAAGCCGGCTCCATGCTGTTTGGCCGGCTCAATGCTGATTGGTCGGGAAGCCAGCTTCCTGTCCAATCAACATTGAGCCAACCAAACAGCATGGAGCCGGTTTCCTGGCCAATCAGGAAGCCAGGCGGCGAGTAATTACCTGCTGCCCGGCTTCCTGATTGGCCGGGAATCCAGCCCCATGTTCCCTCGCGGCACTGCCAGAGGAAATCTCCCTCTGACCGGAAGTTCTGGTATCGGGGAAGGTATTGGAGCATTTGGGCAGGTACTCGTACTCGCCCAAATACTCGGTATTGGCACCGATACTAGTATTAGTATATCCCTACTATTCACTACGGGATCCCTACGATCCCATATTTCTAGACAAAGGTGATTTAATTACCCTTTGAATTCCCAGAAGACGTTAACGAGTCGTCATCACTGGAATTGCTGCCCGTTTTCCGGTTCTCGGTTTCAGGTTGTCTCTCCAGCATTGGTGTGGATGTCGGATCTTCTGTGTCCTCTGTCACCAGCACTGGGTCAGAGACGTCTGTGGGATCATCTGCCTTATTATGATCAAGCTGCTGCTGTGAGTCTTGTAATTGACTTTCGCTTAATGTGCTTGCTTCACTTGCTCCTCCATTGGGATTTTTGGAAACAATGTTCTTTCTCCTGTATTTTCTCTGTTTTGTCTGCGTCTCTGGTTTAGTGGAAGAATATTTTCTTGGCCTTTTTATCCTGATAACATCCTTCAAGGCTCTTTCTGGTCCTTTCCTGTGACTCTGGACTCTCTTCCTGCCAAAAGATTTAATTGATGTTGTATTTCTGTCATCCTCATCCACAATAAACGGATCCTCTTCTGTGATTTGTGTGTCCTCAGCAGGGTCTACAGGCTGTGCTGTGTATTCTTCTGTCACGACACTCAGGGTGGCTGAACTATCTCCATTATTCTTATTATTGCATTCTGTGACAACACTTGTTTTGGACCTTTGTATCTGAGAAGGAACTGAGAAGTCAAAATCTTGCAGGTTTATCTGGACATGATGGGTGTTGAGATATTTTAGGACAGCAGTTCTTGATCGAAGCTTGGTTCCTTGAGGGCTAAGAGGAGAGAAATGAGAAGGACTTATACTTTAATGTAAGTATGTTGGAGATGCTTGACCTCAAAGGGCAGTATACTCCATATATTCTGGGAATGTCCTAAGATAAGGCCCTTTTGGATTTATATAACGACGCTGCTCCAAAAAATAGTTGATCAGACTATACAAGATGACCCTGTACATTTGCTTTTAGGCCTCCCCATACCACACTTCCCGAAACCCCCCCGTCCCATGTAGAATTGGTGCGAAGGATCCATGAAATTCACAATATGGAATATCTAACGGCCCGAATGCATAATAATATCCATGAATTCAATCAGGTGTGGTCCCCGTGGCAATCACTTGAAAATACCAGTGGGAATACCCTGCTCTTAGACGAATTATCATCTCCCGTGAATCAGAGATAAGAAGCATTTCTTTTCTTTCCCTTTTTATTATATTATTGTATTAAAGGAGAACTATGGGGTCAGTGTTTTTCCCCATAGTTCTCCTTAGGGTAACGGGAGGACACAAACTAGCGTCCTCCCGTTACCCTAAGCTCAGTATACCGCGAGCTACAGCTCGCGGTATACTGAGACGCCGCAGCCGGAGCGGATCCCGACATCGATGTCGAGATCCGCCCAGCTGCGTGAGTGACAGCTGGCTCTGCCTATCTAGAGGCAGAGCCAGCTGTACCCGCCCCCTCCCCCGTCCGTTCCGCCAGTCAGCGCTGGCAGATCGGAGCGGGGAGAGGGGAATCCAGCCCCTCCCCTGTCACGGCAGAGAGCCGTGACAGGATCGAGAGGTGAGCGAACCCGGTATGTGTTCGCTCACCTCCCGATCTACTGAGCCGACCTGTGACAGTCTCATTGTCACAGGTCGGCTAGAACTATGAGGTGAGTGAAAAGCACTCACCTCATAGTTCTCCTTTAACCAGTTAGGTATATGTTTCATGACGATTTAATTGCTTTCCAACTATTGTTATAGTTGACTTATACTTTTGCATACACACTAAAACTTGAATAAAAACTTAAATCAGAATGTAAGTCTAAACTACGAATGACGGATATATTGTTTCCCAAAGCACACAACCAATTACCATGGTTATAGTCAAATGCTCGTTTAGATCTTGGGTACCAAGAAAAAGGACTTTTATTCACCTGATTCCCAATCCCTTAAGGTTACAAGATCTGCATCCACAGCCTCTTCCCCCCTGCTCTCCAGTGGTCAGAGACCAGCTGACCTGATCAAATACAATGCAGGGCCCATAGCCCCGCATTGTAAGGCCCCGTTCACATTGAGCGGTTCGCAAATCGCGCGTTTGCCGCGCGATTTGCATTTTGCGCGACTTCGCGCAAATGCTTCCATTGAGCAAGCTTGAATCGCGGCTAAATCAGATCCAAAAAGGGTCCTGCTGTAGCGACACACGACCCGCGACAGCAGAACCCTTTGCCCCATTGAGAAGCATTGGAGAGCGATATTGAGGGACTTACCGCGCGATAAATCGCTCAATGTGAACGGGGCCTAAGTGAGGCTGCTGAGGAACAGTCAACAAGCTGGGGTGTGGGGGAGATAAGGCAAGGGCTGACTGCCGGGGGAGCAGGAATCAAGCAAGTAAAAATGCTTTACCCAGGTACCCTAGACCTAAACGGACATTTAACCCTTGCAGTGCAGGGGCAGCCCCCCTACATGTGGAGTTTTGTGGTTTCCCTATAGATAGGTTTCAAAAGAGAAATAAAGTCAAACTTTTTTGGCCCTTAGGAGTACATTTGCTAATGTATTCTTGTACCTCAAAGTCAGCAGATAGCGGGCTAATGTTCTGCTCTGACTCGTGAACTGTCCCTCTGCATCCTCACATCTAATGCAGGTCTACAGGGCCAGGCATTAGATGTAATGATGTCACTGGCCTCTGACCACTGGAGCCAAGAGAGGAAGAGACTGCAGGTGCCGGTTTTGCAGCCAATGGGAGCAGGTATCAAGTGAGTAAAACCGATTTACTTCAGTCCCCTGGAAATAAACAAGCAATTAACCCTTGCAGTGCAGGTGTAGCCTGTCTAGAAGGGGAGGTTTGTTTGTTTGCCTGCATATACGCTTAAAAAAAATCACCAAAGGCATTTGTAACAAATCAGCAAAGTTAAATGGTTTTAAATGCCCAATGGTCATATAAATTAACCCTTGCTGTGGTGCTTCCCCAACGCGGCAAGGGTTAACTGCTTGTCTTGGTCCAGGGGCCGAATTACAGAAGATACACTCACCTGAATCTCGACCCTGTGGCAGTCGGTGCTCACCCCTCTCCCCCCCTCCACTCTGAATGTGGTATATCCCTCGGCATCCTCACGTTTAATGCAACTCAATGGACTGCATTAGACATGATGACCTAGGCAAGGCTTACACTGCCGGAGCCCGGGGAAGAAGAGGCTGCGTCGACCAGTCTAGCAACCCAACGGGATAAAGTGAATATATTTCCTTTATTTGCGCCCCTAGACCAAACGAGCAGTTAACCCTTGCTGTGCAGGGGCAGCCCCACTGTAAGGGTTAACTTTTAAAATCCTGGATTTCCCCTTTAATAACTGCTATAAAAATGGGCTTTGCTAATGTGGAAAAGCAGAATCCTGATCCACAGCTACATGGCTGACATGAGAAGGAATGTCTCAGGGTCTATAGCTTATACAGTATGTGAGCAATGTACGGGTCACCACCTACCTTAAAAATACCACATCAACCCTCCCCGCCGTTTTCCCAGTTTTTCTGCATTTAGTGATCTTCGTCCAGCCCTCAGGATGTGTTGCCGGGATACTGGAATTTGCATCTTTTGAGGGCTCATCTTTCTGCGATTCGTTGTTGTCGCACAGTTGTTGGGGAATATCATGGGATTCCGTTATGTCCGCGGCTTCTTCATCAACCGTTTCACTACAAGGAAAAAAAAATATGAACGGACACGCTTTATTTAAGAATATTAAAGAAGAACTATGGGGTCAGGGCTTTTCCCCATAGTTCTCCTTTGGGTAACAGGAGGACACAAACTAGCGTCCTCCCGTCACCCAAAGCTCAGTATGTAGCGGGCTACAGCTCGCGGTATACTGAGACGCCGCAGCCGGAACCGATCCCAACATCGATGTCAAGATCCGCCCAGCTGCGTGAGTGACAGCTGGCTCTGCCTATCTAGAGGCAGAGCCAGCTGTACCCGCCCCCTCCCCCAGTCAGCGCTGGCGGATCGGAGCGGGGAGGGGGGGAATCCAGCCCCTCCCCTGTCACGGCAGAGAGCCGTGACAGGATCGAGAGGTGAGCGAACGCGGGTATGTTCGCTCACCTCCCGATCTACTGAGCCGACCTGTGACAGTCTCATTGCCTCAGGTCGGCTAGAACTATGAGGTGAGTGAAAAGCACGCACCTCATAGTTCTCCTTTAATAGGAGCCCCTTCACATGATATAACGTATCTTTTCGGTTTATCTGTCCCGAAACGTCTTAAATGGAAAAAAACCCTCCTATGTTTTTGATGTCAGTGACAGGGGTCATCTTTGCCACTATTCTGATCTTCAGTTGCCATGGTGCTGCACATAGGACCAGGTATGACACCAGCCATTTGAGGGCTTGACAGGGGCGTCCGCCATGAGTGGTGTCACGCTGTGCGGCTGCCATGTGTCACCAGCTGGGATGACGTCACGCACGCGTGTGATGTCGTTGGGTGCACGCATGACGTCATTATACACACGCACAATGACGTCACATGCACTTAACTGCTGTCGGCCATCTTGGTGATGAATGCTGGCAAAGAGAGGAGGGGACGTTCACCTGGTGGGATAAGGTATGCTGACGGTTCCCCTCTCGCGTCACTGTCGTGCTCTCTGTCCATGACCGAGTACCTGACTTTTCAGAGGGGGTGACACCAAATTGACTGTCAGTCATTTTGGTGTCACCCGGTGTGTGGGAGCCCACACCCTCCTACATGTAAGGCCATATATAAACAAACAAATTAGGATAACTGTCACACTGGGAGACTAATTCTTAATTATTACTGAGCATTCTTATAACACTGATTACACTCATCACTAAACTAACTACATAAAGGGAATAGGAGGAGGGAGGGGTTAAACTGTAAAAGCAAGACTTTTCAACAATGTTTGCTAACGTCATTATCTGGCTCTTGTTTACCTGTCCGGCACGGGGGCCGCCATGATGCATTCCCGCCCCGGACCCGCAGTCACGTGACACAGGTGAGACAAAAGAGGCCTGGCGGCGCGTGCTCAGTGTGTGGATTCCCTCCGCGCATGCGCCAATCTGTGCTGTCATCGGTGGAGGGGCGAGGCTTGGCATGGTAATGAGCGCAGGACTGTTGTGGCGACCGGAGGAGACGGAGCACCGGCCGGTGAAGTCAGTGTGATACCGGAGACATGAGGGCCGTTCCTACCTGGGTGGACAAAGTCCATGACAGGGACAAGGTGGAACAATGGTAAGGAGGCCTGCAGAGCGTGCATAGCGACCGGGAGCTAGGGCCCAACTGTGCATAGCAACCGGGAGCTAGGGACCAGAGGGTGCATAGCAACCAGGAGCTGGGATGCCCAGTGTGCATAGCAACCGGGAGCTGGATGCCTCCGTGTGCATAGTAACCAGGATGTCGGGCCTCAGTGGGCATAGTAACCAGCATGTCGGCTCCCGGTGTGCATAGTAACCAGGGGCTGGGGGCCCCAGTGTGCAAACCAACTAGGAGCCCCAGTGTGCACAGTGACCAGGAGCTGGGGGCCCCAGTGTGCATAGCGACCAGGAGCTAGAAGCCACTGTGTGCAAAACAAACAGGATTTTGGGGCCCCGTTCTGCATAGCAGTCAGCAGTCAGGGGCCCCAGTGTGGGTAGCAGTCAGGGGCCCCAGTGTGGATAGCAGGCAGGTGTTAGGGTCAGTAGTTTGCCAGGTTAAAGTTACTAAATTACTTCAGAAGTAGTTAGTATACAAACATTGACTGCTTTGGACTAAAACCTATTTGTGTCATTGTGTGATATTGAGTCAGCTGTGTTCTGCCTGTACTAAATTTGCTTATCCATGTTTAACAATGATGACCACCGCTATATTAATAACTATACATCTTTTATATCTCTCCAGTATTTATGACTTGGCATTCAAGCCTGATGGCACCCAACTGATAGTGGCCGCAGGAAATAAAGTTCTGGTAGGTGATGATGATGATTTCACATATAATATATATATATATATA